ACACACACACACACACACACACACACACACACACACACACACACACAGAGAGAGAGAGAGAGAGAGAGAGAGAACACTTTGTTTCCAAGAACAGTCACCTATATCTGATCAGATATATAGTTCTACAACTTTTCTGGAGACCAGCCTAGGAGGAGAGCCAGGGTGATAAAGTGGGCTAGGATCAGGAAGATCCAGGGCTAAGTCAGCAATGGAAGAACACTGGGTGACTCTGGGCCAGTCATTTTGTCTTAACACAGCCCATTTCATGAAATTTTTATTGTGAGGAAAATTTGAAATAGGGTTCTACCTACCTTGAGCTCCTAGAAGAACGATGGAGTAAGTATCTGAGAAAAAAATTCAGTGGTTTCTAAGAAGCTAGTAAATGTTTTCTAGGCTTGATTCATTTTGGTCATCGTCAACCTCAAAATAAATTGAATCTCAACCAAGGTTTCATATGTATATCTATATTCTTACAAAGGAGTAACAATCCCTATATTGCCTCTGTCAAGGACAATGGGCCGATCACAATCCAGTCAAAATCAGTTGGAAGGGTCAAAAGAGAAGAGTAAAATGGAGTTTAAATCAATCCATAATAAAAGACAAAGAATTTATACAGATGATGGAAAGAGAACTGGGTTTGTTCTGTACAGTCATTTACATACTCGTAAACGCTGCGCGGCGATTGGTCAAGACGCGCGGCGAGCTGATTGGCCGAGTGAGCCGCACTGATTGGCCCGCCGCGAATCTCCCGCGATTGGTGGAAACTAATCGCGGGAGATTCAAAGTGGTGCCATTGGCCGCGGCCGCCGCGGCCAAAGAATAAAAGCCGCCGCTTTTCCCCTTTCCAGCTAGCCGATCTTGGGACCAATAAATGAGCTGAACTGAGTCACTGGCTCCGAGTCTCCTTCCTTGCACCGGATACAACACTGGCAACGAGGATGGGATCCCAAGCCTGATCCCCATCATACACGTGTCCGGAGGAAACGAGACCGACGAGATGGCCAGCATCGCACCGCCCGCACCTTTTAACCCGGCTACTGAGGATTGGAAATCGTATACCGACCGATTCCTGATGTTCCTCGAAAGTAGCAACCTGAAGGATGCAAACGGGCAGAAGAAAAGGGCTGTTTTCCTCACGCACTGCGGGCTCGCAGTGTTCCAAATGGCTAAAGCCCTCGCGAAACCAGAGGACTTCAAGACAATGGACTGGGACGACCTCGCACCATTACTCCGAAACCACTATGCCCCCGACGTGCCCACTCTCATCCGGCGGCACGACTTCTATCGTCGAGACCAGCGAGCGGGCGAGAGCATCGGAGATTTCGTGGCCGCCCTGCGAAATCTCAGAGGCATGTGTGGTTTTACGGACATGGACGAGGCTCTCCGAGACCGCGTCGTCCTGGGACTCAGAGACCCAGTCCTCCAGAGCCGATTGATGGCAAAAGGCGACATCGCCCTCGCCGACGTCCTCGCAGACACCACCGCAGCCGAGGCCACCAGGAAGTCAGCGGCCCGAATGCGGAGATCCGACGGCGGGGACCGAAGCGCGACCGCCGAGGCAGGCACTGCAACTGAGACGCGCTCCGAAGCAAGCCGCCGAGACACCACAACACACCATGGCGACCTCGACTCTGCCTCTGACACCACCGACGGGGAAGAGAACATGCATCGACTTCAGGCGGACCGGGACCGGCGCGATCGACGGAGTCGTAAGTTGGGGCAACCGTGCGCCGGGTGTGGAGGCGACCACCCTCGAGCAGATTCTTCGATGCAATATGCCGGCACTGCGACAAAAGAGGCCACATCGCCCAAGTCTGTCGACTCAAGAAGAACTACAGCCCCCGGCGACAAGACGACAGCAACCGGAGACGAGACGGCACCCCCCCAGGCCCAGAGACCGCCAAGCCGAGAGCCGATGGAGCCGAGACGGACGGGGCCGATGAGACGGCGGGAACCGGCGGAGAGAGGAAACCCACCAGACGGTCGTCATCGGCCACTCCTCCAGCACAGACGCCCAAAAAGTATATGTGGAGGTGGGCATCGAGGGCGAGACATGCAAAATGGAGGTGGACTCCGGGTCCTACCTCTCCATGGTTGCATGGCGGGAAATAAAGCGCCTGGTGCCCGCCATCCACAGGAAGGGGCTGGAAAGCCAGAGCCTGATCCTCAAGGACTACCAAGGGAATCGTATACCGGTAGTCGGAACAGGCCAATTCGAGGTGACTTTCAAGGGGCGAACAGCAAGGCTTCCCCTGACGATTGTGGACCGAGACTGCCTTAGCCTTTTGGGACTGCAGTGGTTCGCACCGCTCGGGATCGAGGTGACGGGAATCGACCACGTCGGGGAGGCCGACTGGGAAGAGCAGCTCGCGAGAGACTTCCAGGAAGTGTTCGAGGGCACCCTAGGCAAGTACCGAGGGCCCCCTATCTCATTCAGCCTAGACCCCAGCGTTCCCCCCATCCGCCTAAAACCACGGCGAGTACCGTTTGCACTCCGGCCAAAAATCGATGAACAAATAGACAAACTCGTCAAACAAGGGGTCCTTGAGCCAATCGACCATGCCCGGTGGGAGACCCCCATAGTCACCCTGGTCAAGCCCGATGGATCGTTAAGGATCTGTGGGGACTATAAAGCCACCCTCAATTGTGCCTTGCAACAAAGCGCCTACCCCGTCCCAGTAGTGCAGCATCTCCTGCACTCGCTGGGGGGAGGCAAGGTCTTTGCGAAGCTCGACCTGGCACAAGCCTATCAGCAGCTACTGGTCGACGCAGAAACGGCCGAAGCGCAAACCATAGTAACCCACCGGGGGGGCTTCCATTGTAAGAGGCTCCAGTTTGGAGTCAGCGTGGCCCCTGGAATATTCCAGAGCCTCATGGGGAGACTCCTGCAAGGCATCAAGGGGGTGGTGCCCTACTTCGACGACGTATTGGTATCAGCACCCAACCAAAAAGAGCTAGAGGGTCGCCTGAGGGAGGTCCTAACAAAATTCAAAAATGCGGGACTGAAGGTTAAAAAAGAAAAATGGCAGTTACACACCGAAAGGGTCGAATTCCTGGGGTACCTCCTAGATTGGCACGGAATTCACCCAACCGAGGAAAAAATCAGAGCGATCAAGGAAGCCCCCAGGCCGAAGAATAAAACGGAGCTACAGGCGTTTCTAGGACTGCTTAATTTTTACAATGTTTTCCTGCCCCAGAAGGTGACCGCGGCGGAGCCTTTGCATAGGCTCCTGGACAAGGCGGCTTTGTGGACTTGGGGGAAACGCAAGGAAGCCGCCTTCAACAAAACCAAGGACCTGCTCACCTCGGATGCCGTCCTCATCCAATACAACGAGACCCTGCCGCTAGCTGTCACATGCAACGCATCACCCTTTGGCGTCGGAGCCGTCCTCAGCCACACTCTCCCCGACGGAAAGGAAGCACCCATCGCTTTCTTCTCACGAACCCTCACCAAACCGGAAAGGAACTACAGTCAGCTGGACAAAGAGGCCCTGGCCATCGTTGCCGCTGTCAAAAGATTCCACGAGTACATCTACGGCCGAGCTTTCACCATCATCACCGACCACAGGCCACTGCTGGGAATCCTGGCAGGGAACAGGGCCACCCCGAACATTCTATCCCCTAGAATGACAAGGTGGTCCGAATTCCTTGCCGCCTACAGCTACCGGCTCACACACCGACCCGGTAAGACCATCTCCCACGCAGACGCCCTGAGCCGCACGCCGCTACCAGACTTCGACACCGACCCAGCACCCACGACGACCACACTCAGCATAGAGACTCTGCCCGATCTACCCATAACCCCGTCAGACATTGCCCGTGAAACTAATAAAGACAAACGTCTGGCGCGGGTATTGCATTGGGTAGAGAAGGGGTGGCCCGAAAAAGATGACAACGAGACCTTCAGGACATTCTGAAACTGACAAACGGAACTGTCAGTGCAAAAAGGGTGTTTACTTTGGGGGGACCGGGTTGTTATTCCGGAAAAACTACAGGGAAAGGTTTTGGAATTGTTGCATGAGGGGCACCCAGGCATCGTTAGAACAAAGGCCTTAGCCAGGAGTTACGCCTGGTGGCCAGGGATGGACAAACAAATCGAGGCCTGGGTGGCAGCGTTTAACAGATGCCAGGAAAACAGACCCAGCCCTCCTGCTGCCCCAATCCTGGAATGGGAATCCCCCAGGGGACTATGGTCCAGGATTCACATAGATTTTGCCGGGCCCACAAAAGGGCACACCTTCCTCATCACGGTAGACACTTACTCCAACTGGTTGGAGGTAGGCAACATGAAAACTACCACCACGGAGGCCGTCACCAAAGAACTCAGCAAACTATTCGCAACCCACGGCCTCCCAGACGTCCTCGTATCTGACAACGGGCCCCAATTTACCTCGCTGGAATTCGAAAAATTCCTAGCGGAGCGGGGGATACGACACGCGTTGACAGCGCCGGCACATCCGGCGGCGAATGGGAGGGTGGAATGGATGGTTCAATTTACAAAAAAAAAAACAATCCAGAAAATAGAAAACGGGGAAATCCAAGAAAAAATAAATAAAATGCTCCTGATACAACACATAACCCCGAACACAACAACTAACAAAAGCCCGGCAGAACTATTAATGGGGAGAAAATTAAGGTCCCCACTAGACAGACTGCACCCCACATACAACCCAGAAAATCCCCCAAACTCTTCGAGCAAAGACCGAACATTTAAACCAGGCGACACAGTATACGCAAGGAACCTTACCGGGGACCCACTTTGGATACTAGCAACCGTAACCCAAGTGACAGATCCCCGCTCGTACCGTTTACAAACAACCGACGGACGAGCATGGAAGCGACACATCGACCAATTAAGGTCAAGAACAACCATGGGAAACACAACCGACACGCAAACAGACACAAACACATACCCAGAAAAAGAAGGGGACCCCCCAACACAAACCAAGAGGGGAGGGAAGACCCCAAGAACCAACCCACACCAGAAAGAAACTGGGAATACTCACCAACAAACAGCCAGCTCGAAACCTCACCAGGAAGGAGCAGCCAAGCCAGCTCAACCAGCCCAGAAAGACCAGGCGGGAGCGGCAACAACCGCAACTCAACCAGCCCGGGTAGACCGGGAGGGAGCTGCGACGAAAGGCCCGGCTCACCCTTCCAGACGGTTCCATCGACGAGACAGAGAGCAACACAGAACCCGACCGAACCGGCCGAGAACCAAGCACCAACTAACCTGCGCAGGTCAAGTAGACAAATACGAAGCCCCGCCTACTTACGGGACTACATTACGTAGGACCATACCAAGAGGGGAGGGGTGTTCTGTACAGTCATTTACATACTCGTAAATGCTGCGCAGCGATTGGTCAAGACGCGCGGCGAGCTGATTGGCCGAGTGAGCCGCACTGATTGGCCCGCCGCGAATCTCCCGCGATTGGTGGAAACTAATCGCGGGAGATTCAAAGCGGTGCCATTGGCCGCGGCTGCCGCGGCCAAAGAATAAAAACCGCCGCTTTTCCCCTTTCCAGCTAGCCGATCTCGGGACCAATAAATGAGCTGAACTGAGTCACTGGCTCCGAGTCTCCTTCCTTGCGCCGGACACAACAGGGTTTGTTTGTTTTTTTAAAAAAAGAGAACAGAAAAGAGGAGACCTCATTACAAAATGTGTAGGATACAGAATTACAAATAAGCTAATACAAAGAGAAATCTAGTTAAAACTATTCTGTTACGCTATTATTATTGTTATTAGTATATGTGTTAATATTCCTGTTTGTTCTTTCTTTGCTTTTCTGTAAATGATATGCCCTGACAATACACTGTATTCAAAATGTTTATGAATAAACAGAAAACAGATACTAAAAACAACAACCAAGGACTTTAGATAAGCCAGGATAAGGAAGCTATTATGTTTTCTGTTTGCTGGGTTAAATGAACAAGAGCAATTGTGCTTGTAGTAAAAGCATGTGAATTTATAAATGGCTTTCTGTTGAATCATTGTAGCAACTAAAGCCAATGCTTTAACAGGCATACTTCATGATAAGCAACAACATAATGCAAAGCACAGATTATATTTCCTTGGACTTTGAAACCCAAATCCAAAAAGCAAAGTACCTAAAACTAGTCAAGGTAGCTCACATTTTAAAATAACGCTCTTGTTAAAAAGCATGAAACTTTGCAATGTGATGGAGACCTGGGCAAAAGTAGAGGTTGAGGCTGAAAAGTGGATTAATTTATTTTTTATTTTTTTATTTTCAGGTACAAGTATAAACATAGTTATGAATACATGAAATGGATACATATAAGAAAAAAAAAAATAGGACAAGGACAGTAGGCACATTGGTGCGCTTATGCACGCCTCCTACAGACCTCTTAGGAAAGGGGTGAGGTCAATAGTAGACAGTCTAAGGTTAAAGTTTTGGGGGTTTGAGGAAGAAACCACAGAGTCAGGTAGAGCATTCCAGACATTGACCACTCTGTTGCTGAAGTCGTATTTCCTGCAATCAAGTTTGGTGCAGTTTATCTTGAGTTTGTATCTATTGTGTGCTCTTGTATTGGCATGGTTGAAGCTGAAGTATTCATTGACAGGTAGGACATTGCAATATATAATTTTATGTACTATACTTAGATCAGACCGAAGGCAGCATAGTTCTAGGTTTTCTAGGTCTAAAATTTCAAGTCTGGTGGCAAAAGGTATTCTGCAACGAGTAGAGGAGTGGAGAACTCTTCTTGTGAAATACTTCTGGACTTTCTCAACTATATTAATATCAGATATGTAATGCAGGTTCCAGACTGATGAGCTGTATTCAAGTATTGGTCTAGCAAATGTTTTGTATGCTCTAGTTAGTAGTGTGATATTACCAGAGAAAAAGCTACGTAGGATTAGGTTAACAACTCTTAATGCCTTTTTGGCTATGTAGTTACAGTGGGCTCTAGCAGTTAGATCATTAGAGATGAGTACTCCAAGATCCTTGAAAGAGTTTGGATCATCAACAAGGTCTTGACTATTCAGCTTGTATTTTATTTTCTGATATATATTTTTTGCCAATATGTAAGACAGAGCATTTATTTGTTGAGATTTGAAGTTGCCATTTGTCTGTCATTAAGGAATAAAGTTTTCAATTGACATCCCAAGAATTCTTTTCTGAACTGCATTCAGTTATATTGTATATAATCTGTGGGTTTTAATTCTGTTCTTTAAGTTTGTGTTCTTGATTTGTTATGAAGAACTATAGCAGTATATTTTTTGTTCTGGCTTGTGACATAAGTTGTGACATAACTAGGGCTGTTCCCCTGCTTTTCCTTTATGACATGGCCGTCTCTACTTGCAGAATCCTGGAATCCAATCTGAATTTATCCTCTCTCTGACACTAACAGAACTGGCAGAAAAACTCAGGGAGGAAAAACTTTCTTCAGAGAGTGTCCTGTATACCTATATTAAAAAGGTAAGTGCAACAGGGGCTATTGGAATATTTCCAGGCTTACATATGTAGAGATTTTTTAAAAAGTTTTTAAAAGAAAGATAAAATCTAATACAAACCAATAGAAAGTAAGAAGAAGAAAAGAAAAAGACAAAACTTGAAAGCATGCTGAACATGCAAGAAAAAAGTAAAAAAAGACCAGAAAACAAAATACAAAAAAGTAGTTTCTAATCTTCCTTACAACAGTTATAAGTACAATTATAAATTTAGCTCTAAGGAGCTCAACAGGACTCTTCTTTCTATAACCTGTATCATTAGCAAAACCATAAATCATACATTCATATTTTTCTGTTTTATGCAAAAACTCCATACAGGGTTTTCAGTCAACAAGAAAACTATTCTCTCATCAAAGAAGTCAGTTGGACCATCTCAGAAAGTTTCATTATTTTCATCAACCACTCCTCCATTGTGGGTAATGCCAAATCATACCATCTTTGTGCCAATAACAATCTCACTTTTTAAAATAACTATTTAGGACAATAGTTTTCACTACTCATTGCAGAACATTGTTCTAGATCTGTTGTTAGCACAAAGGTGGACAATCTTGCCAGAACCTTTTTGCAGCCCCCAGAATATCGGCATTTGGGAACTTGGAGATGTTTTTGCAATGTTTGAGACTTGGAGAGAATTTGAAGGTTAAAATCGAGGCCTTAAGACAGAAATGTAAGAAACATGGTTCACTTTTTAAAGCCAACATTCCGCTTCTCAATTGTTTTTTTTCACTGGTGCATTTTAAGGGGAATCAGATCACTTTTTTTCAGCCCTTTACCTTTCTCCAAAGCACCAAAATAGCATGCAATTATCATTGGCTATATTCACTGGGGTCCCTAGAAAGTCAATCTAACAATCAATGACTTCTATCAGCCGCAAGAAAATTGTTTGCCTATATTAATATATGCCTAACAAACTGTTAACAAGATATAGATCTAAGCAGGTGCTACTTAGCTTACTTTGGTAGATTCAAGAGAGACAGTAATGCATTCCAATTTCATTGATAGTCAATGTCTGTTGAAAAAGGTGACCAGAATTCTAAACCAATGCCATATGGGTCAGAATTACTTTTATTGTAACAGCAAAATCTTGCAAGTCTGAATGTGTTTTCTCCTCCTTCACTTTATCTTGATGTGAATTAGGGGTGTCTTTTCTGAGACATATTCTCAGGTTACAGTATTTTCTTGGCCTGGACTCGAATTCCTCTTATCTGATAATTATCTTTGTAGGGGCTCTTCTTCCTCTCTTCCAAGGCCATAGTCAATTTTTAACTAAATTTAGATGCTACTGTAGCATCCTGCTACATGTAATTCATAGCACCTATCACTGTTTTTAACTTATGCTTCCTCCCTCCCACAAACATACAAACACATCCATCAGTCCAGAGGTGGTATTCAGCATGTTCTGACCAGTTCTAGAGAACCGGTAGCGGAAATTCTGAGTAGTTTGGAGAACCGGCAAATACTTCCTTTGACTGGCCCCACCCCCATCTATTCTCTGCCTCCCAAGTCCCAGCTGATCGGCTGGGTCTTCTTTTGTTGCCTTGCACAGGAGAACGGAGCTGGAAAGCAGGTTAGTAGGGTGGGGAGGGAATGGGGATTTTTGCAGTATCCTTTTCCTGCCACACCCACCAAGCCGTGCCCACAGAAAGGTAGTAATTTTTTTTTAATCATATAACTGCGTCTGTCCTCTGGATCAACACCTGGATTTTCCTGAATACAAAGTTTGACTCCAGCTTAACATTGATTTATTTAATAAATCATGCTTTCCCCCTCTGGACCAGGCTCTTGAAGTAACCCAGGAGGTGAACTGTGTGACAGATTTTCTTCATGGATGTGAGGAACAGGTCCAGGACCTGAAGAAGCAAAAAGAGAAAGGCTTGTTGTATGGAATTCCTGTCAGCATTAAGGATCACATTGGATACAAGGTTCATCATCCTTTACCTTTTGAAATACTTGCTGCTGAAAAAGTGTCAGAACTATCAAGAAGGGGATGTAGCTTAAAATATTTCCTCATCTTTAGCTAAAATCCAGTTCCTACAGAGGTTAAAGAAATGTTGAAGGCTGAAATTGAGTTTCCTGTTTCATTTCTATGCAACTATTCCAAGACAGCAGCCATGTTATTCTTTTACAGGAAAACAATAAAACATTTGTAGCACTTTAAAAACAAACATATTATGACAGAAGCTTTAGTATCAATTAAATGGAGATAAAAGTTTTAATATCAATTAAATGAAAACAAAAGCTTTAATACCAATTAAATGAAGTTAAACCATTTCATTAGATGTACTTCCATTGCAGATAAGAAGGAAGTCTCATGCAGTTAATGTTTGATTGAGAGATATATGTTTCCTAAGGTTTAAATTCCACAATTCTTCCACTCTTCCTACCTCCCCAGCCTTACATGAAGATGGGTGTCCCAATAAAAGTTAGCACGTTGTTTGTGCTCTTATGTATATATGGGATACTTCTTAAAATATCCACACGCACAATATATACCAACGTAAGTATCTAAGCAAGGAATAGCAGCTGGTCATGGAGCTTGCCAGATGTCTCTATGTTCTGATAGGCATGCAGGTTCTAAAGCACAGTAGGCTATTTTTATGAGAAATGTATGACTAGTGACAAGTCATTTGTCATTACATAAAAGCATAGCTCTCTTCACAGCATAGCATAGCACTCTGCATAAGGTGGAGATGTCATAGGGTGTTGGAATCTAACTATTAGATGAAAACTGATACCTTAGCAAAGGACTTTAGAAGAGAACTTTCCATATATGGTGCTTTTGTATAGTTCTTTCTCTTCAGCTTTAACTGTCTTTGCATTAGGAGAAAATAAGTGCTTGTGGTTTGGGGGGTATTTGATCAATAAAGCCTGTTCCTGGACAAGTTCTCATAACTTGAAGTTCTGCATAATGTATCAACACATTTGTTATATATAATATAGATACTCTAACATAACATTATATCAAGCAAGTTGTGTTTTCTCTCTCCCCAAGGGACACATCTCTACCTGTGGCTTGGTGCAATATCTTGACAAAGTAGAGGCTGATGACAGCGTGATAGTAAAAGTCTTGAAGAAACAAGGAGCAATTCCATTTGTGAAAACTAATATTCCTCAGAGCATGATAAAGTATTTTTTCCTCTATTTTAGAAATTTCTTGATTAATACTAATAACCTAGGAATCTAGGGTGGTGGGTTAATGGAAGAAAGACTAAGCAAGCATAAAATATTCTTTCGCAGAAAGTTTAAAACAAATAAGAAAAATATTTATTACTGCACCAGAAACAAGGAGGCTGTAAGTTAATTTGAGGGAACATTCAAAATGACAGGCCCTACTTACAGCATTAAATTTTGCTATCTCAATATTCTATCACCTCAGTTTCAGCATGGATCAGGCCTGGATATTGTCTATTCCACAACTGGGATTGTCAATTCCATAATCCCCAGTCACTGTTTTTCCTGAGAATTCTGGGACTTGTAGTCTCAAAACATTGGTATGGCACCAGATTCCAATCTTTGTGTCATATTTGGTATCTGTCCTCACTCACTATTTGCAGTGCTAATGTGCAAGTTGTTATTTGATTGGTTATTATATAGTTTTCTCCTCAACCTCTCTTTAACAGATAACAGATAATCAGAGTTGGAAGGGACCTTGTAGGCCATCTAGTTCAAACCCCTACAACATTTCTGACAGATGGGAGTCCAATCTCTTCTTGAAAGTCGCAAGTGATGGTGCTCCCACAACTTCCGAGGGCAAGCTGTTCCATTGGTTGATTGTTCTCACTGTCAGAAAGTTTCTCCTTATTTCCAAGTTAAATCTCTCCTTGTTCAATTTCCATCCATTATTCCTTGTCTGGCCTACAGGCGCTTTAGAAAATAGCTTGACCCCTTCCTCCCTGTGGCAGCCCCTCAAATATGGGAAGACTGCTATCATGTCTCCCCTGGTCCTTCTCTTCACTAGACTAGCCATGCCCAGTTCCTGTAACTGTTCTTCATATGTTTCAGTCTCCAGTCCCTTAATCATCCTGGCCCAATGCTGATATAAAAAGTTTAACTGCCAATCTACTTTCTGTTTTGGTCAGCTACGATTGCAGTAACTTAATCTTTGGTCAAACGAGGAATCCTTTGAACCACAAGAAAAGTCCTGGTGGGTCTTCTGGAGGAGAAGGGGCACTGATTGCAGGAGGTGGATCCCTCTTGGGGTTTGGGACAGATGTTGCTGGAAGCATTCGCCTGCCCTCCAGCTTCTGTGGACTTTGTGGACTCAAACCAACAGGCTCTCGGTTAAGGTCAGTTCTACATTCTTCTTGGGGCCGATAAACAACCCAATGTCTGAATGCTAATATTGATTGGATCGCATGTTTAAAAGCATTCTTAGGAAACATTTCATTTCTGCAGAAATGAAAATATGCATTCCCAAATTGCTTTTTTGCAGTTGTATTCACAAGTGGCTTTTTTGTTTATAAATATTCTGATGAATACACATCCTGTAGTTGGGGCTGCCTTTATTATAATCCTCGTTATGAACACATTTGTTGTTTTGATTATTTTAGCTTTAATTGTTATCTGAAGTTCAGCTCCTTTCTTGAAACTTTCTTTAAAATTCAGGAATAGATTATTTCGGTGTTGCTAGCAAGCACTTTATTATTTTTTCTTGTTTATATATTTTCCAGCACCCTGGGTCTTGCTAGTCCAGTGGCAGGCATGAAGTCAGGTGAGTAATAAGGGTGGGTTCTGTTTTTGTTTTGGTACTTTTAAGTCAACCTTGACTCCTGCCAATTGCTTAGAGAAGTCCATGAGTTTTCTTGGGCTTATTTTTAGAATTTGCTTACCTTCTTCTGAGAGAGAAAATACCCCAAAGTCATTCAACTGATATCTGTATTTAAGGCAGCATTGGAACTTTCCTTGTTTCTAGCCTGATGCTTCTAACCCTCTCACGATTTGTTCTGAAGTAATAAGTAGTTATCCAAAAATTGAATTATTTAAATATGTATACATGACCTTTCTAGTTGAAAAAAATCTACCAAGATGGGGCATGGACAAATATCTACATATTCTTACAAAATGTAATAATATTACAACTTCTTTAAATTATTAATTAAATAAATTAAATCAGTTAATTACTTAATTAAAAGTTATGTAAAAGAAGTGAGTTTTCAAAGACCTTTGAAAGGCCTTATTGGAGTTAATCTGCCATGTCTACAAAGTGAGCAAACAATACGACTATAAGCTTTCCTAAGCTTTTAGGACATGAATGGTCAAAATCAACACTCTGAATTATGTCCAGACAGACATAGAGCAACTGGTGCAAAATGGACAAAAATTAGTTTTGCAACAACAAACACTTAGTGACTACAATCTGCACTATTGGGAATTTCTGTGTCTTCTTTAAAATAGCTTCATATGCATTATATTAACTTGTTTAGGCTCCAGTCAAACCCTGGTTACATCTCTCAGTGATAAAATGGATCAAATCACTGGGTTTCTGCCATTAAAGAAAGATAATTAATAGCATTGCTTCTAATGAATTTATGAGAGCCAATAAACTCAGACTGAAATTTGACGTTTCCAGTTATGGTGTCTGGGAATTTTGTTTTAAAGATGACAGAAAGAACAGAGATGGAATTTGGTGGCACTTTTAGTATAATAATTATCACTGCAGACTCAAATGACTTCTATGGCCAGGAGAACCTTTAACTGGTAGTCAATTACTGCACATCTTTTTCTGGATAGAAACAAATCAGCTATGTTACTCATGCAATAGTAACCTTACAGTTAGATATCTTTAATGTGCTTTATGAGAGATTAACTTGCACTTGGTCTGGAGCAAAGGTGGTATTCAACAGGTTCTGACCAGTGCTGGAGAACTGGTAGCAGAAATTTTGAGTAGTTCGGAGAACTGGTAGTGAAAATCTTGAGTACTTCGGAGAACCAGCAAGTACCACCTCTGATTGGCCCCACCCCCATCTATTCTCTGCCTCCCGAGTCCCAGATGATCAGCTGGGTCTTCTTTTGTTGCCCTGTACAGGAGAACGGAGCTGGAAAGCAGGTTAGGAGGTGGGGAGAGAATGGGGATTTTACAGTATCCTTCCCCTGGAATGGGGTGAGAATGGAGATGTTGCATTATCATTCCCCTGCCACACCCACCAAGCCATGCCCACCAAACCACACCACACCCACCAAGTCACACCCACAGAACCAGTAGTAAAAAAAATTGAATCCCACCACTGGTCTGGAGGCTGAAGCTGATGGGAATGCACTGGGAAGATTACTGATTTTTTCCCCCCCGTTGAAGCAATTTGATTGGCTGCCAATTAATTATCAAGCCAGGTTCAAAACTCTGTTTATAACATACAAGGTTCCAAACAAATAGCACCAGGATATTTGAGAGATCACCTTTATTGTTTTTGATCTGGGTGGTCACTTCTATTTTATGTTAATTTAATGTATTACTTTTATTATTATTTTTAAAATTATAAACTGCTGTGGGATACAATTCTACAGGAAATAGAGAAATATAGTAAATAAATAATCTGAAATCCAATATATCTTTCTATTAATTGTACTTCTGACTCCATTAAGTTAACCTTGGGAATTACATCTGGTCAAATTATTTATCCATCTAGCCTGTTATTGATGGATGCCTAGTCACCAGCAAAGACCTTTTTCCGGATTTGTTTCATTCAAACCATTTCACTGGAGATCGTATTTCCTTTATAGTGACAGCAACAATTGGTCCAATGGCAAGAGATGTGGATAGTCTGGCTCTGTGCATGAAAGCTCTCTTATGTGATGAGTTATTCCACCTGGATCCTTCAGTACCACCCATGCCATTCAGGGAAGAGGTAATACAAATGTGAAAAGTGAATGAATGAATGAATGAATGAGGGCAACCAAGAAGGGGAACATCAGAAAGACTGAACACCATAGATAAAGCCATTTCATCCAATAATAAATGAATTCCCTTTTTGCAAATGGTTTCCCACTAAGAGCATATATGTCATGGCCTCAAAGCCAGCTCCTGTGAGGCAGCACAGAGCCCCTTAGTCTGAGGGTCCTGCACCCAGCAGAGTAGGTATCTTATAAGTAAAGTACAGACTCTGCAGGCAAACTCAGTGTCTCATTATTAGCTACTACTGAACAGGCTTAGCCTGTATCGGCTAAGTGGGGAAAGGATTTAAATTACACAAGAGACGGCCTTCCATTGTTGGAAGCAACTTTTGCATTACCCTTGTGCATTGTGAACTTGTATTCTTGTCTCCTGCTTTGTTTTGGCCTTCATATGCTCCTGACCAAATCTCTGTCTTGTCCCTTGATAATTTTTAAGTTTCTGTGTGATATTGGATTATGGATTATACTTGGATTATACTTGTTCCTCAGCCTTACACAAGCATCACTCCTGCATTTTGCTGGCCAATTGCGTTAACATTTTCCCCTTTTGCTTAAACGAAGACATGAACATGTGATTATACCCAAGTTTAAATTTGCCAGCATCTTGACTGTTTCATTCAAAAGTAATGAAATCCCTCTCTGTTTTGGTTAACAATAGAGCTTTTAATTATTCCACTGAGGCAAATTATGTCAGCAACTGCTGTAAGTACTTTTGATACCAAGCTTATTTAACTTTTTCAGATATTCAAAAAAGATCATTTAATGATCACAGATAAGTTTTAAATTTAAATAATGATGAACCAACAATTTTTATTTTTTTAAAAGCTAAGTATAAAAACAAAAGCAAAGTAAAAACTTTTTGTCTTTAAAAAGTTAAAAAAACAAAACCATGATGTAGGGATATATGCAAATTAAGTTGTAATCTTATAAGAAAAATAACTTTCAAACATCCATATTTGATCTTACTGTCCAAAAAGATATTTGTGTAAATGAAAAAACACTGTTAGGAACCTTTGTTAAAACACAACTTAAAAATGTAAAGTAAATGTAGTAAAAGAATTCTTAAGTATCTATGGAGATTTGTAGTCATCCAGATAGTGGTTGTCCCAAAGGTTCTTTTTCAAGAGGCAACTGGACTTTCTGGTTTTTCTTTGAAGATGTTTTGCTTTTCATCCAAGAATATTCAGCCAGGTCAAGCCTAGGGACGGTGAAATAGCTATTTCAAATCCTTTTCTTTTCTCCTTCTCTCCAGATTTACACCAGTTCAAATCTCCTTCGGATTGGATACTATAAAGATGATGTATATTTCCAGCCCTCCCCAAGTATGAAAAGGGCTGTTCAGGAAACAAAAAATCTTCTTCAGGCTGCAGGACACACAGTATATGCATTTATTATTATTTTTTAACTTATGTTCTAGTTTAAAATATTTCTGACATTTGTGCCTTATGTATATCTCAGAAAAACATTGTGACCCACATTACTCACAATTTTCTGTAAAATGGGAAGCCTGAATACCCGTGCTCCCAGTACATTGCTTTAGATCCAGGCATATTCATGCTGAAAATAGACCACTAAAATCAATCAACTTAATTTAATTTAATATAATTGGCATATTTATATCAATGAATCTATTCAGTCTGGTAATATCTTTATCTTTCCTGGCTATGCATTTTTGCAAATCTACAAAAATATAAACTAGACAATATTTATAAGCATTTATATTTGTGCATGTTTGTGTGCTCTATTAAGGTAAAGGCAAAGGTTCCCCTCGCACATACGTGCTAGTCATTTCCAGCTCTAGGGGGTAGTGCTCATCTCCGTTACAAAGCGGAAGAGCCAGCGCTGTCCAAAGACGTCTCCATGGTCATGTGGCTGGCATGACTAAATGCCGAAAGCACCCGGAATGCTGTTACTTTCCCACCAAAGTGGTCCCTATTTTTCTCCTTGCATTTTTTACATGCTTTTGAACTGCTAGGTTGGCAGAAGCTGGGACAAGTAATGGGAGCTCACTCCGTTACGTGGTGATAGGGATTTGACCTGCCGATCTGCCGACCTTTCTGATCGACAAGCTCAGTGTCTTATCCATTGAGCCACCACATCCCCTCTATGTGTGCTCTATTAGTAGTTGACAAAGTTTAGTTTTTAAGAAATGCCATTAAATCACCTTTAAACATGGTAATATAGTCTACATAGTATCTGTACAGTATCACTACCTACCATTCATATATGTTATCATATGTGTTAAGGTATAAACCTACAGTTCTGCCACATTGTATATATTAGGGTCTTAATGAGTATGCACAGCTTCCTATGTAGAAATGTGTTGTGGCCCTAATATAAACCAAACTGGAAGTTTGTTTTATATGGTGAACAACTATGACATTGGGATTGTTGACTTGATAAAAGTACTAATTCTCACTACATACTTTATTAATTTCTAGTCTTCAATTTTTTTTTACTTCCAAATCAATATTTAAATCCTGCATATATGCTAAATTAGTATAACATGAATAGGCCCATAGCTTATTTAGTAAACCATGACTAAAAAGCCATATTGACTAGAAAACCATAGTTCACAATCAGTCTGGAAGGCATCATGATGCGAACGGATGGTCTACATCAATGATCCCCAACCTTTCTTATGCCGCGGCCCGGTATCCCCAACCTTTTTTATGGCGCGGCCCGGTACCGGCATTAGCTGGGCGCCGCCATCTTTTTTTGATGAAAAAGTGCTTCCGG